TTTCGTCGATGTGAGCTCATCGATGGGTTTGTTGGTTGTGTCAAATATGAGGAGCAGTGACAACGTGAATAGTGACGTCATGTTCCGGTTGTTGTTCAAACATAACCCCCCAATAAGGAAAACAATCCAATAAAAAATTCCAATTGGCAAATAAGGGTTGTTTTACTGCACTCATAAAGAGTGGTGAGATTAAAAGGGACTTTTTCAAATACAACAGTCTAAAATTATGCTAAGGGAATTATTCGGAACTATTCGATAGTACACCTTATTGTAAAGAGATGGCGCTTATACATACACATAAAATATGTAACATATACTAAACTGTGTTATGATATGTAGCTATATTTAGGCATTATTGCAAATTTTCAAAAGCAATAAAATTGAATTATATTTAAATTGTTGTTACCTAATTAAAAGTGATTCTTCTGATTAGTTTTTATTTACTTTTTTTTCATATTACAGTACATTATTCCAACAAGAAAGTGATTTTGAAAAATGGGTCTTTAAAAATTAGCTTGAATTATATCGGACACATGTGGTTTGATTTTGGATATGTTGTTGTGGATTTTTTTTAATATCCTTGGTGGGCCACATTTTACATATTAATAATGCTGGAATAATCTATTCCGTATGATGCTTTGAAAAAATTGAGTTTTTCATTATGTGTGATTGAATTATAAACAAATTAGATGATAATTACCTTGGGAATAGTGATATTATATATTTTAATTAATAAATTAGATGATAATTACAAACTTTAAAGCTTATTTATCTTATGACGTGTGCTAATTAAAATACCCGCGAATATAGGGAGATATATTCAATATCATTCATTCTCTTAAAATATACTTAGTTTTAAGACAATTCGAACATTACAAATTAATAACAACATGTTATTAAACAAATAACTGTTAATATACGAAAAGGAAGAAAATAAATGTCTATGAAAATATACATAATAACTATGCTATTTAACGTGTCGCCATTGTCAGCCTGCCAGAACCCTTTTTACCAAATTACAGCCCCCATCGTCTAGGAAATGTGACTAAAGTCTTCAGTGCCGAAATTGGGATGGTACCTTCCAAGGAAGCTATACCAATCTTGACATCGTTTTTAGTTGTTATTGTTATAGCAACAAAATACATGTGATAGGTTATTCATTGTTTGGTTCTGCTTTTTCTACCTCCAAATTCAAGAATGTTGCAACTTGAATGGGTTGCGTCCATGCGAATTCGGCGATAGGTAAGTCGGCTTATCTGGGCAGTTGAAGAGGTGCAACGTGTCGTGTGGTCCTAGTCCACAAGCAGGACATGTGATAGGTATCGAGCCATCAATTCTTGCCCAAAAAGAAATTGAAGCGGTTGCACCATCCTGATCATAGTTGAGCTAAGACTACTCGAGTTTGTCGGGGCAGCGATGAGATGGATGGGATTTTGTCTCCGATTATGGTACTCAGACTCTACTGCTTTGGGGCTGTGTCGTGTGAATACCATTCTGACCTGCTTAATAAGCTTCTTAACCTAGGGGTTCGACAACATATAATTGTGTCGATGGGCGGGTAAGATTTTCGTCTCCTCATGGAAGATGGTCCACTTGAAAAACTGTCGAACGTTATTCCCAGTATCTTGGGCAGTTAGTGATCGGAATCAGTTCTCCATCGACCACTTTTATCAGTGGGAGCTTCATTTCAGCCGTCCATGTGGTAAACAATGTGACCATTGATTTTGTGTGCGGATATTTCCATATTCCTCAGATGGAAGAAATTTATGATATACCGACGCCATGATCCGCATACATTACGATCTCTATATAATTGTGTCGATGGATGGGTAAGATCTTCGTCTTCTCATGGAAGATGGTCCACTTGAAAAACTGTCGAACGTTATTCCCAGTATCTTGGGGCAGTTAGTGGTCTGAATCAGTTCTCCATCGACCACTTTGTTCAGTGGGAACTTCATTTCAGCCGTCCATGTGGTAAACAATGTGACTGTTGATTTTGTGTGCGGATATTTCCATATTCCTCAGATGGAAGACATTTATGATATACCGACGCCATGATCGTACAATCATCCGGATACATTACGATTTCCATGCCGCCCGGTGTTTGTGGAATATCAGAAAGGTAGAGGTTAAACAGTTCCGGAGATATTAACCCTCCTTGGTGAGGTTGGATATTTGTCTTCTCTATATCTTCGAACAGCTTGGCATGGTTGACGGTATCGAAGCCATCAGAACTGTTCGGTTGCACGGCCTGTTCTGGTGAAGTCCTCCGCTAATATGTGTGGAAAAGGTGTGTAATGCTGTTGTTGTGCTGTGCATCTTATGGAATCCATGTTGGTGTTGAGCAACTGGAAAACTGCTTCTCAACGATGAGAGAAGTAGCGCTTCAAGTTAATTTGCTACTGGCGACAAGAGTGAAGTCTGAGGGAATGGACCGTTCTCTGAAGCGGTGATTGGTAAACTCTCTGATACAATGCCAATCAGATTTCCCATGGTTCAGTACGAAAAGTTCGACGATCGGAGGTTTGGAAGTCTGGTGGCCTTTTGACGGAGGCCATGATAGGAAGGTGAGCCGAGTGAAATGACGGGTTGCCAGGTTACGACAGTGATGCGGTGATTATATAGAAAAATCATACATTAGAACTATATAGTCCATAGGGTATTCTGCTAGTTAGTCACTAATCACATATACGTGTGTTGTGTAGTTTAGCCACAAAATGTTCATATTTCGCGAGTTATAACCTTGCAAACCTCAGTTTCATGGAATTTAAAAGATTTTTGTAATTTCCCATATCCATTATTGGAATATTCTTTTTTATGATTTTTGTACAGGTAGTCTTATGCAATACATTTTCCGATCAGCGCAATCGATTATAAGCCAAAATGCAATCCAATGGAATATTCACTTATACATATAAACAAATACAAATTTAAAAATATATTATATTTATAAAATCTATTTAAAAACAATATAAATATAAACTTTATTCATACAAAAAATAAAAGATAAATACATCGTTTTGTTTTCCGACAAATTGAACACTACGATTTTAAGTGTTCCGCCAAGTGGATCACTTCGATTTTTCGTGTTCCGCCAAATGGAACACTACGATTTTTAGTGTTCCGGCCAGTGGAACACTACGATTTTTAGTGTTCCGACCGCGGTACGCTGCGATTTTTAGTGCTCCGACACCGGTACACTACGAATTTCGTTGTGCTCCGGAACAGTACCACTAAAATATTTGTTAATGTTTGTGTACCGGAACACTAACGCTAAAAATTTTTTTGTGTTTGTGTTCCTGGTACGGTACACTACGATAGTCGAATATATTCCTGTAGATTACAATACGAATAAGAACGATGTAGAATATCACTTGTCCGCTTATTTGTTCTGCTTGTTTATTTGATTTGTTCCACCCTACACCATATACAACAAACAATATTCCGGAGTTTGATAGATTTTATAGTTTTTAGTGACATCTATACGACCATTACAGATGGTGCAGAATGATATCGTTTTTGAACCGGTTTATTTGATATGTTATTATTATGTACAGATGGCGCAAAAGGCAAACAGATATGTACTCATTAATATTCCAGGTGTCCGTTATATTTTTCATAACTTGTGTAAAAACGGCCAGTTTAAATCTGAATTGCAATCAATTTGTGTGGAAATATGGCAAAAACCCTCAGGTACGGGACATCTGGCGGTGCAACGACTTTTTTTATTTACTCTTGTTGTTCTAAAGGGAAATGTGTTTCCAATACGCCTATATGTAATGAAAATTTCAACATCGAACGAAGCCAACTACTATATCATTTTGAATATATACGAGAGGTGTTCTAAGAATCGTATTGTTACGCATAGTAATTCAATAAGTCCCTACAATATTTTCCTCCGACTTTTTGCGATTCCTGCAATTTTTTTTTTCACTTGTAAGGAATTGTGCGATTTGGCGCAGGGAGGTTTTCCTAATTTTGGTTCCCATAAGATGGGGATTTCTAGTAAACTTTTATCAGATATCACCTGGAATTGGTTACGGCAAAACAGTTTTTTGCTTCTCCTACACAATTATGCTTTTGTTAGTTACGCCTTTTTTGCATTTTAGCTAACGATTTGTACAAGTCCTCATAAATCTAAAAGTTTTCGGTTGAAAATGCGACAAAAACCCTTAAAATTACGAAATTGAGCGGGATTTTCATATGGGGTCTATATTGAATAAAGGACCTATAATCATCATGCCAGCCCTCAACCCCCTGAAATGCCATATAAAAGTCTTTCAATCACAAGCCAATAAACTTCATAATTACAATCGAATCGGATAAACCTCAAAAGGTATGCGTTAATGTCTATCTGGGACCGAAATATAATATAATGATTTGGGTCAGGTTATAACTTTGAATTAAAATCGTATGCATTTCTCTGGTTTCATAAATTCTTCTATGAATTATCGGCTAGTACGAATGTTATAAAACGCAATCTAACTGTTTACCTATTCAACTCACCGGATGCCCTAACCTATACCGAAATGTATAACTATATGAAATTGGCCTACGAAGGTAAATATGAATTCTACCTATCTATGAGCCGCCCACATTGCAACATTTCAAAGCTCTCTTATTCTGTAGATATTCCTATTAATATAATGAATAAACATACAATAAAAAACAACTTTTATTCTCTGCACGCTAGATCTGCATTTCATATTACTGTGCACTATGGCCTAGGGTATAATATATTCGCCTAAGTCTTACAATTATTCTTATCGTTAAAAACATATATTCTATGCATTTTAATATGCATCTTTATTATGATTTTAGTTCTATGTTTTTTTTTATAGTCAAGTGTCCAACTTTTTCACCTATAAGGCGATAATAAAATGTTGTGTTTCTCTTTAAAGAAACTGATAAGGAAAACCTCATGGTATAAATGCAAGTCCGAAATTTGATATGCCAAATAGTCTTCTAGTTTCTGGTGAAGGTGTGCAAAGGTTTTCGCCATGAAGTTGACCATTGTGCTATTAGCCTGTGTGGTGGGCATTGCTACATTGGGGTCCACTCAAAATGTCACAGCAGTTGATAAATCATTTTTGGAGAAACAAAAATTTCTTTACGAAATTGTGTATCGCGTTGAGGATCCATTGATGTTCGAGGAGTGGATTAAACTGGGTAACCAATTAATTGTGGACAAATCGTTCTATAATGTAAGTACACAAATATTCCAAAAAAACATGCTCGGATTATCAAAGATTTATTTTTTTTATTTTAGCACTATGACATTCATATGGAGAAATTCTGGGAATCCTACAAGGAGAAGGCTCTTCTGCCCAAAGGTGAATTTTTCGGTAATCTCGTGAAATCCCATTATATGCAAGCCTGGGGCCTTTTCAACTTCTTCTACTATGCCAAGGACTGGGATGTGTTCCAACGAAATGTATGCTGGGCCCGTATGCATGTTAACGAAGGCATGTTCGTGCATGCCCTCACTTTGGCTATCATTCATCGTGATGATTTTGTGGGTCTTATGTTGCCCTATATCTACGAGATATTCCCACAACACTTCTTCGATAGTCGATTCGTCTATGCTGCCGAGAAATTCGATTATAACATCTGGAGCAAATACGCCATGTACGAGAAACAATACCTCGATGTCTACTACAAGGACAACAACAAGGGCAATTATGTACACATGAAGGACTGGAAAATGTGGCAATGGTGGAAACTCATGGGTTTGGACAGACAGTGGTACATGGAGGAGAACTATATGCTGCGGGAAAATATTTATGAACATTGTCAGGATGCACAGTGGCTGTCGATGATGAAGGACATCAAAATGTTGTGGATGCCCGTAGACTACACTCGTGACATTGAATATGCCAATGAAGAGTCGGCTCTCTCCTATTTCACCGAGGATGCTGGTTGGAACGCCTTCTGGTACTATTTCAGCATGGATTATCCCTTCTTCTTGGATGGTGAAACTTTCAACTTGCAAAATGATCGCCGTGGTGAATTCTGGGTTTATGGCATACAAAAATTGTTGGCACGTTATTATATGGAACGTCTGTCCCATGGTCTGGGCGAAATTCCGCACATTTCACGTAAGCAAAATGTGAAAAATGGCTACAATCCTCGTCTGGTGTCCTATAATGGCATTGGATATAGTTATCGCAAAGACTACTATCACTTCTACGATTCGGGTAACTTCGATATGATCGACAGAATTCGAGAATTTTTCGGCCGAATTGAGAGTGTGGTTGACATGGGATACTACAAAATGAAAAATGGCACCATGGTGGATTTGCGTCAACCAAATGCAGCCGAACTTATTGGCAACATTCTTCAAGGAAATGTCGATGTTATGGACAAATATTTCTTCAACTACTGGTATTTGTACTCGCACATGTATTTGGCAGGAGTCGATTACAATGATGTGGAAGTCCTTCCACATGCATTCCTTAACATGGAAACTGTTATGAGAGATCCTTTGATCTATGGCATCCATAAGCGTATAGTTGATGTATTCTATCGCTTCAAGAACTCGTTGGGTCCTTACAAGAAGGAAGAACTCTTGTTCCCCGGTGTTCATATTACAGACGTGAAGGTTAGTGAATTGGTGACTTACTTTGACATCTTCGATTTCGATGTGACCAATCTGATCAACGGCAAGATTCGTATTGTTGACGGCGAATTTGTCTGGGACAAAACATTGCTGGCCCGTCAAATGCGTTTGAATCACAAACCTATCAACTTCGAAATTACTGTCGAATCGGATAAACCTCAAAAGGTATATGTTCGTGTCTATCTCGGGCCGAAATATAATGAATTGGGTCAGGTTATAGCGTTGAATGAAAATCGCATGAACTTCTTCTCGTTTGATAAATTCTCCTATGAACTGACGGCTGGTACGAATGTTATAAAACGTAATCCCGCCGATTACCTCTTCACCTCGCCTGATGCCCTTACCTATACCGAAATGTATAACTACATTAAATTAGCCCACGAAGGTAAATATGAATTCAACCTATCTATGAGCCACCCACATTGCTCTTTCCCCAATCGTCTTATGTTGCCACGTGGCTGGGAACAAGGAATGCCAATGCAATTATTCTTTATGATAACTCTCGATGATGATGACCACGATCAGTTTGACTACACATTCTCATGTGGCCTAGGATCTGGTCGACGTTGGTTGGACCACAAACCATTTGCCTATCCTTTTGATCGAGAAATTGATGAATATGATTTCTATGTGCCCAATATGTACTTTAAGGATGTCATGATCTATCATCAGGACAATTTGAAAATGTACCGCCAATTGAATTATACGAATTTCGGTAATTTTGATTACAATTATTTCGATGACTATTATACAAAAGGCGTAAGCAATTAAAATATAATTAAAATGCTGTAGTAGAGTGGCTTTGAACAATCAATTTTTTAATTTTTAAAGTAAATAAACTAATTTAATAATTGCACTTGTTATTGTCATATTTTTTGTTCATAGGTACATTAATAATATAAAACTAATTCTCAAGTCTGGTGAAAATTTCGCTACATTAACCCAGATAACGCCAAGATTTGTTCTTCAAAATCTTTAATTTAATTTTAAAGTGAGAGTAAAGTGATTGACTGACTTACTAACTGATTTACTGACTGACTTAACTATTCATCAACACCCAGACGAAACAGCTGAAACTAAAATCTTGGAAATTTGGGTGAGGGTCACTATTGGTCCAAAGGTGTCAGATATGTCTGGGTTTTCGGAAATTCGTACTAGAACGGCACCAAAAGTACTAAATATGGTATAATTTGTATTTGGCGAACCGGAGCACTCTTAAATTTGAAATGAGTGCTACTGATGGAGAACAGAATAGGTGTTGCAAAAGATTTCTTGGACATTCGAACTATAAGCATCCGGTAAGTACCAAAATGTACTAAAGTCGGTACAATTTCGTAGCATGTGAACGGATAGAGCTAAAAACTTGAAATTTGGATTGTGAATTAAGTTGAGAGAATTAGGGTCTAACCGATAGATCTGGAACACTGAAATTTCGAAATAATATTATTGTTGGCACATTTTGAATTTTGGGGTTTGGGGGGTTTCAAGGTACTGACCAATGTCAAAACCAGTAAGGAAAGTAGTAAAGTCGGACAGGGCCGACTATATGATACCCTTCACCACTATGGGTATATTAAACAGGAGTATAAACATGAAATTGGATGAAATAAAATATGTGATATTTATCTAAATGTGAATCTACCTAGATCTATCCATAAAGTATGTAAATCGACTTCAAACAAATATAAATAGGTCATCCGTTGGGCTATGTCTGTACTTCTAGAAAACGCAACTATGTAATTCTATGCTCAATTTTGTAAGTTGTGCAAAATTTGATGTCAATATGACTACATGAGGAGTTTGATGCCCAATTTACTTGAAATCGGGCGGAAATATATATGGAAGCTCTATCCAAATATTAAGCGATTTCAAACCAATATGTCACAGGTTAGGTTATAGTAATTTCAGAACGTTTTGTTCCTATCAGCCTTTTGGTTCCTTGGTGCGTCAATTACTTAAAATCAATCTATAATAAAAGGGAGCTATATCTAAATCTGGACCGATTTTCACGAAACAAGGCAGACATCACTCAAGGCTCAATTCAGTACGTTATGCCAAATTTCGTGCAAATATGATATATATAGCGACTTTGGTACACGATTTACATGAAATCGGACGAAACTATATATGGGAGCTATATAGAAATCTGGGCTGATTTTCACGAAACTTGGCAGACATAATTCTAGACTCAATTCAGTACGTTATGCCAAATTTCGTAGAAATCGCAAGATATATGTGGACTTTGGGGCACCATTTACATGAAATTGGACGAAACTATATATGGGAGCTATATCTAAATCTAGACGGATTTTCTCAAAACTTGACAGACAACATTCTAGGCTCAATTCAGTACGTTATGCCAAATTTCGTACAAATCGAAAGATATATTGGGACTTTGGGGCGCCATTTATATTAAATCGGACGGAACTATATATTGGAGGTATATCTAAATCCGAACCGATTTTCTCGAAACTTGGCAGACATTACTCTATTTTCAATTCAGTACGTTATGCCAAATTTCGTGCAAATCGAAGGATATATAGGGACTTTGGTGCACCATTTATATTAAATCGGACGAAACTATATATGGGAGCTATATCTAAATCGTGACCGATTTTCACGAAACTTGGTAGACATCATTCTAGACTCAACTCAGTACGTTATGCCAAATTTCGTGCAAATCGCAAGATATATGTGGACTTTGGTGCACCATTTACATGAAATCGGACGAAACTATATATGGGAGCTATATCTAAATCTGGACCGATTTTCTCGAAACTTGGCAGACATCACTCTAGTCTTAATTCAGTACGTTATGCTAAATTTCGTGCAAATCGAAAGATATATAGGGACTTTGGGGCACCATTTACATGAAATCGGACGAAAATATATATGGGAGCTATATCTAAATCTGGACCGATTTTTACGAAACTTGGCAGACATCATTCTAGACCTAAATGATTAGGCTGTACCAAATTTCGTGCAAATCGAAAGATATATAGGGACCGTTTACTTTAAATCGGTTAAATATATATATGGGAGCTATATCTAAATCTGAACCGATTTTTCCCAATTTCAATAGGGTTCGTCCTTGGGCCGAATGAGTGACCTATGCCAAATTTCATCCAATTCGGATCATAAATGCGACCTGTACTTTGTTTACAATTTAACATGGACAGACAGACGGACGGACATGCATAAATCGACTTAGAAAGTGATTCTATGTATATTCTCAAAAGGAACCATGGGTCTATCTCGATTATTTTTGCCTGTTACAAACATATGCACAAAGACATAATACCCTGTACCACAGTGTGGTGAAGGGTATAATTAAACCAGTAAGGAAAGTAGTAAAGTCGGACGGGGCCGACTATATGATACCCTTCACCACTATGGGTATATTAAACAGGACTATTAGCATGAAATTGGATGAAATAAAATATGTGATATTTATCTAAATGTGAATCTACCTAGATCTATCCATAAAATATGTAAATCGACTTCAAACAAATATAAATAGGTCATCCGTTGGGCTATGTCTGTACTTCTAGAAAACGCAACTATATAATTTTATGCTTAATTTTGTACGATGTGCAAACTTTGATGTCAATCTGACTAACATGAGGAGTTTGATACCCAATTTACTTGAAATCGGGCAAAAATATATATGGTGCGTCAATTATTCAAAATCAATCTATAATAAAAAGGGCTATATCTATCTAAATCTGGACCGATTTTCACGAAACTTGACAGACATCATTCTAGGCTCTATTCAGCACGTTATGCCAAATTTCGTGCAAATCGAAAGATATATAGGGACTTTGGGGCACCATTTACATGAAATCGGACGAAACTATATATGAGAGCTATATCTAAATCTGGACCGATTTTCTCGAAACTTGGCAGACATCATTCTAGACCTAAGTGATTAGGCTGTACCAAATTTCGTGCAAATCGAAAGATATATAGGGACTTTGGTGCACCATTTACATGAAATCGGACGAAACTATATATGGGAGCTATATCTAAATCTGGACCGATTTTCTCGAAAGTTGGCAGACAGTATTCTAGGCTCAATTCAGTACGTTATGCCAAATTTCGTGCAAATCGAAAGATATATAGGGACTTTGGGGCACCATTTACATGAAATCGGACGAAACTATATATGGGAGCTATATCTAAATCTGGACCGATTTTTTTGAAACTTGGCAGACATCATTCTAGACCTAAGTGATTAGGCTGTACCAAATTTCGTGCCAATCGAAAGATATATTGGGACTTTGGTGCACCATTTACATGAAATCGGACGAAACTATATATGGGAGCTATATCTAAATCTGGACCGATTTTCTCGAAACTTGGCAGACATCATTCTAGACCTAAGTGATTAGGCTGTACCCAATTTCATGCCAATCGAAAGATATATAGGGACTTTGGTGCACAATTTACATGAAATCGGACGAAACTATATATGGGAGCTATATCTAAATCTGGACCGATTTTCTCGAAAGTTGGCAGACTTCATTCTAGGCTCTATTTAGTACGTTATGCCAAATTTCGTGCAAATCGAAAGATATATAGGGACTTTGAGGCACCATTTACATGAAATCGGACGAAACTATATATGGGAGCTATATCTAAATCTGGACCGATTTTTTTGAAACTAGGCAGACATCATTCTAGACCTAAGTGATTAGGCTGTACCAATTTTCGTGCCAATCGAATGATATATAGGGACTTTGGTGCACCATTTACATGAAATCGGACGAAACTATATATGGGAGCTATATCTAAATCTGTACCGATTTTTACGAAACTTGGCAGACATCATTCTAGACCTAAATGATTAGGCTGTACCAAAAACGGATTTCACTCTGAGATATAATTGAATATTGATCATCACAATCAGAAAACCCCATTTGAGTTGAACCAAATATAGTGTTCGGAAATTTTTTTTACAATTTCTTGACATTCATGATTATTGGAAAGTAAAAATCTCTAAGCAGATAATTTTAAATGTAGGCCCACATTTTGACATAGCCCCCATAAAAGGGATTCAATCCATTTTAAAACTTCGATGGTCCAACTTTCCAACATTGATTTATAAAAAAATAAACAAATAAAACAAAAATACGCAAGTGAAAAAGCGATAAGTTCGGCCGGGCCGAACTTTGAATACCCTCCACCATAGGTATACTGACAAATAGGGAACATACCAAAAAGTGAACCTATAGCGATAATTCTACAAACCCGTTTATGTAAACCATTGTGTACACCAAATACCTATTTCAGCAATCATCAAAGAAGTGCAATAGATTACAAATTAGATTACATAATGTAAGAATTAGCGAATATTTGGGGTTATAATTATATGATATGCCTAATAAACGCATATGTCAATATACAATCATCAAACAAGTGCAATAGATTACAAATTAGATTACATAATGTAAGAATTAGCGAATATTTGGGGTTATAATTATATGAGGGCTATGCCTAATTAATGACGACATATGTCAATTTGGTACCCAATAAGAACCTATTCTATCAAATTTCAGCGAATTCGGTTTAAAAACGCGCTTAAAACCCACCAAAATACCGTAAATGGGTGGTACCGTTATATGTGGGCACATTTGGTACCCAAAAATAACCCAATGTACCAAATTTTAGCGAATTGGTTGAAAATATCGAAAAATGGGCGGTACTCTTATATGGAGGCTATGCCTAAACGTGGACCGATATTGTCCATCTTCCAACTTGACCTGCCTGCA